TGACACTGTCCTGTCTGCCTTTGTTCCAGTGAAATTGGAGACATGCACAGACACCTCTCAGCATTAGCTAGCATAGGGGCGGCATGGCCAGATGCTGGCTCGGGTTGGGGTGGGGGGGCAGTGGGTGGGATCCCTGCTTGAGCAGCAAGCAAGGGGAGGGTGGGGCAGGGGGAAGCCAGGCAGATGCTGCTGTTTCCCGGATGCCATCCGTCACCCCGTCTCAGCTAGATGGAGCTCTGGCTAGGAAGGAAAGGGGTGGGGCCAGCTATGCTCTCTGGACCAGACAGCTCAGCCCAGCCCAGCCCAGCCCAGCCCAGCACAGGGCTGAAAAGCAGGCTAGGAAGTTGAGGGACTCTGATTTAACTTAAAGCAGGAAGGGGTCTGGGATAGAAGTTCCATAAACTGGTTTAACCCAAATCAGTTAAGTCTAAGATAAACCTGGTTGAATGTAGCATCAGACTGGTTTCAGCCATTCTCCAACTTGTTCATGTGCACTGAACATCTGTTCTGTTACAGGTTTAAACCAGCTTCTGATAATTTAAACTTGTTTATATGTAACTTCCTTCCCTAGCTTTAAAGTTTACTTTCAGTATGATTTGGCCTGTTTTAGCCACTATCATTTGCTTCATACTCTCTAAAGGCTAGGGACAGACATTCAAAAAGCCTGAGCATGAATTGATTCACTCTTTTCAGGTTAGTCTAAGCTGCGCAGCTTAAACTGATTAATAACTGGACAGTCTCTGTTAAACCAGGAAATGCAGCCACATGCCTGCAACGGCTCAAACCAGAAGCCGGGGGCCACTCGAGCACACCTGCCAGCCACTGTCAAAGGGGAGGGAAGAGAGATGCCCTCTAAGGTTCTCTCCCCTCCCTGCTGGAGTGGAGGGGGTGTGGCCAGGCACCAGCCAGGGCTAGCAGGACACAGGGGATGTGGCAGTTGCTGCCAGACTGAGGAGTAGAGGTGGGGAACAAGTCCTTTCTCTGAAGCAAGTACGTATTGAACACAGCAATTTACAAAGCATACAGCAGGGAACTACCAAAAATCTTGCCTAAGCTAAGATACAGCCCAGTAAAACACAGCATACACAATTTAGTCTAACTTAAAATGTAAAATGAGGAAGACAAGAGAAAGCTTTGCATAAGTCTTATATAATCGTGTGTCTCCTTACAGCCAGGCATTCAGAAAAGCTGTGTTTAAGTATTCTCAGCTTTTACAGGTTCTGCTTTATAATGTAAATGTAGCTTTCTGCATTCTTTGGTGAAGCAGTCTACAACTTCCCTTAACTACATCTCCAGCACATGTGTGATGATTGAGACTGCAGCCAATGCCCCCCCCACCAGGTTCTTGGGGAGAGAGGGGACAGGGAGGAATTAACTCCGGCCCTGCCTGGCTGCAGGCAAGCTGTGGAGGTACAGCCAGGGCTGGCAAACCCCAGATGCGGTCTGCAGGTGGAAGCAGGGTAGAGGACGGAGGGAGGAATTTGCCTCAGGGGCCATGGAAGGCCAGTGTCTGCCCATGCCCTGGCCTTGGTCTGGCTAGAGAGCAGAAGGAAGGTGCCAGCCCAGAGCAAAGAGCAGAGCCCCACCCAGCCCTGAGAGCATGCCAGGATGCTGGTGAAGTCTGATTTAACTTAAGCAAGGAGTCTGGGACAGACAATCCATAAACCAGTTTGAGGCAAATCATTAAAGTCTGATATTACATTCAGTCAGGTTTATCTCAAACCAGTTTTGGCCATTTTCAAACTGGTTTATGTGCACTGGCTGTCAGTTCTGTTACTGATTTAAACAAGTTTCTGATCATATAAACTGGTTTATGTGTAATGTTTGTCTCTAGCCTAACTGTACAGACCTATGAGGAACTCATGTAAGTAAAATTTGCCTGCTCCAACTATTTTAGAAATATGTTA